GGGGAACTAATTTCCTCAGATATCAGATGTGATAATGATGTTGTGTGACTTTAAAGCACTAACTCTTTTTTAAGGTAGTTTAGTACTATGTATCATCACTTACATGACTATATAAAACACATTCGTTTCTGCTGCTTAAATGGTCCCCAAGAAATCTTCAGAAATTACCACATAAAACAAAGTGGTTTTACTATATATAGTTAGTTGGGAGTCTTTCACATTTGAACTCAAATTTAATTACACCTGTTTTAAAATTTCGTATTCAACTTTATACCCAGTGTTGTAAATTCAACTCCTTGTTTCTGTTGTTTTATTGTTTAAACCCTCCATATTTGGCTATGAGTGTTACTTTTAAAGAAAATAAAGAACAGACCTGCATCACCATGGGTTCGTGTCTGATCTTTCTGCCTTTGAATATGGAGCCAGATAGAGAAGGTTGACGGTTGAGAGAGTGGGCTCTCCAGAGGAAGGCTAAACAGTGGTATGGCAGCAGGCAAATAATTATGTTTTAAGAGACTCACACTGTATTTCTCCTCCATGAGTGGTTCTAAAAATTAAAAAAGAGTGGAAGGTGAGTGACTTAGAAAAGAGTTTGTTACATAGTGCATGACCAACAAATATTGGTCACTAATATTTGTTGTGAAGAAAGTCTTCTCTGCGGTAGGGTAAGTCTGACTAGAAGCATCTTCTAATCTGTGTGGCATAGTCTCTGTCAGTTGGGCCATTTGGATGTCTCACGAGGTAGATGGGGGTTTTGCAGCAGTCTATATGCTTCAATAACCTGAGATGGAGTTTCTTTGAGAAGTTGTGTACGTATCAGAGCAGTAGACCCTCTGCCTGGCAAGCCCCTATGCAACAGTCAAACGGTTCTTTCTCTAAGGAGACTTCTGTTCTCTTAGTCTCACTCAAGCCATCTTGTCACATTTGGATCACTCTGGTCATTTTGAACAGTCATTCAGATAATTTAGCTATATTGTGTTGTTAACTGTCAGTATGACAACAGTATAAACTCAAGAACAGGAACCATCCCTACCTGAGTCTTCATGGTATTTGGTATTCCCAGCACAGGACTTTGTTGCATGGATGAAAGTCCGCAAATTGGGGGGGGTGGAGGAGGAGGAGCAGAGCACTGTTATTTTGCCACTGATTGGTAATCCGTTTAATCTAGAGCCTTAACAATCCTTGAAATGGCAGAGGGCATGTGTAGGAGTTAGCATGAGGTGATGACTGGGTTCCTGAGCAGAATAGTTAATTGCCTAGACCAGTGGAATAGGTACTCTGAATCTCAGTTGGGGCAGCTCAACACTGGCCTGTGGGGATCCCTAATGGTCTAGTCCACAGGGAGTTGCACTACTAACCAGAAGGCTGCACCTCTGCTGATTTAAATCCGTTAGGAATTCAGCAGGAGAAAGATGGGCGGTCACCTCTTACTCTATTTATAACCTCCAACAACATGTTAGAGGGTCAGCAGTGAGTAGGTTCCAACTCGACTACAATGAGTTGACTCGACTACAATGAGTTGACTCGACTACAATGAGTTGACTCGACTACAATGAGTTGACTACAATGAGTTGAGCTGCTGTGTGCTGTGTTGTAGGGTCACTATGAATTAGAATCAACCCATGAACAGCGGGTTTAGGGTTGGCTACTTGAGAGTCCATTTGTGTCACTCATTTTAGAAAACTGATGCTGAAATGAGAAGGATACTTCTATTTGTGCCCTGCTTCCAAACTGAACAATTATGAATTAATAATACATTTGTATTCATTCCGGGACTCACTGATGCTTAAGAATTGTGTGTTGAAGCTTTAGAATTGCTCTGTGTGCACTGGATGACAGGTGTTGCTGTGTTTTTCTGTTGTGTGCCATTGAGTCAGAACCAACCCATAGCTGACCTTCCAGCGGATTTCCAGAGGCTCAAGGCATGGCTGTGGCTTTATAACCTAGAAACTACTTTAAGGAACTTGTATAGTGTAATGCTTGGAGTTAAGTGGTGTAATACCGAAGAGCCTCCGTGTTTTCATTGTTTCTTTCACCCTTTACATACGAAAGGAAGTTTAAAATTTATAAAAATTAAATCGTTGTGGCTTTAGATGTTTTTATATTGGGAAGTCAATGTCTTCTTATGTCAGCACCCTTATTATCTCTAGTTTGCTAAGTTACTGAGCCAAAGTCCTTATCAACTCTCTTGGTCCTTAAAGATCCAGATAATCTTTGAGTGCCTCTGTGAACTGGAATTGTAAATAAGCATAAATATTTAAGATGTTATCAAAAAAGATAACAAAAAACCTAAGAGGTTAAAAAAGCCATTTTGAAGCAGCAGAAGGATCAAGAGGACACTGACCTCAGGCGACCTTAATTTGAGTTTGAAATGTTCCAGAAATCTTTAAGACTTCTTCCTGAACTTTGATTTTATCCCTAGTGTTTCTTCCTCATTCGGTAAATACTTGGTTTATATTTGCTTAATGAGATCATAGAATTATTTTATCTTTCAATTAAGTGGACTTAGTGCAACTACAATCCCAGAGGTGCACGGTTCGAATCCACCAGATGCTCTGCCGGGGAAGGAGGGGCAATCTCCTCCTGTACCAGTCAGATCTGATTTGACGGTATACGCACACAGAAATAATAAAATTAAAAAAATTTAAAAAAAAAAGTGGACTTAGGCTCGTTAACATCTTAAATGTTATGAATCAATGTTGATGACTCAAGTTGGCTGATATATTTAAAATTACCTTGAGTTGGAGGGGGTTTTTAGTTCATTTACCCTCCCCATACTTTCAACATGAAGGTTGAGTGTTGCAATACTAGGAAATGAACAAAAATTGTAATTTAGCATAAATGATTGCTACAAAAGTTCTTACTCCTGTTGATAATAGGTACATGATGGGAGTGGAGTGATGCAAAGCAGCATCTTTTCATCTTCCAGTAAGCTTATTATCTGTTTAGGAGCATAGTATAAGTAACACGTGATACCAGGAAGGTGTTTTAGACCCTCTGAATCAAAGATGACTATTTCTTCCACTTGTGAAAGCGAGGGATGCTTCAGAGAGCATCTTTACTGAAAAGATTCGCTGACTCATGATTTAAATCTAAGCTCTACCTTTTCTTATGACATAATATCAGCCCACTTCACAAAAAAAGCATAATTAATTTGAAAGGTTTGCAGCCAGCATTACATAACATTTCTGTACCTCCTGTAACTTAGAGTGACTTTATGAAAACTTTGTCATCACTTAAGAAGACTGTAGCCTGGGCAACAAGGTGTTCCAGAACTTGTTTTGTTTCCTTCTGCTCGATTTTCTCTTTATATATTCACCCTGAGACTTAACCAAGTTTCTGTCCTGTCAGGTTTTGACTGTATCCGAGAGGCATAGTCACAGTACCATCTGACAACTGGTACCGGATGTCAGGAGCAATTCCAGATTCTTGCAGCCTATAAGAGATTTTTGATCATTTGATACTGAATTATTGCACACGTACAGATATCACATGTCTGATTCCTGTACCTAAATCAAGCAGCTTTAACAATTTTTTTTCTTCTTTTTTAATTTATTATTAATTTCAAGGAAAATTTCAGAGACCTTGGATTTCTATTCATTCATTGTTCCACTTCTCCCCTCTCAACCCAAACCCCTAATACACTACCCTCTTGGAAAAGTAAAAGAAAAATTCTTTCTTTTTTAAAGATTTCTTGTACCAAAAATTCTAACAAGAATGGGAACTTAAATGCATCTAAAAGATAATAAAAGTTAATTCTAAGTTTTTTTACTTTTTTTTGGTTGTTTCTCAAGCCTTCCAAGCTATTTCCTTTGATTGGTAATTTCCCCCTTTTTGTAATTTTATTTCTTAGCTTCAGGGTAAAGCATTCCTCAAGCATGATAGTTTCTGTCATAGAGATGACTGACCCAAATGTCTTCTATAATCAGGCAGGTTTGTCCAGTTGTGTAGCAGGACCATTGATTGTGTGGATTTGGGGTGGGTGGGGCACATACACACACCGCAAGGAGAGCAGGCACTCGCCAGCCCCAACTGGAAGCAGCTGGGCTGCTGGGCTGCTTTTAAACTGGGAATCCAGATACACGTGTGAAATGTCAGGTAGATAGGGGATATGTTGTTCTATTATTCCTATTCCTCCCCTTTTTGATACACACTGAGCAAAATACATCTACCCGCCTTGTGTTTGCACCAGTTATACTCTTTTCAGGAAAGACTTTAACTCTTGATTTTGATCAGAATTCTACCCAGTTTGGTTATAACTGCATTAGTGGACTCTATGATTTTTGGGGAGGGAAATGACCTAATACTTAATAAACCAAAAGTGAATTGTTAAAACCTAAAATAACTGATATTGTGCTTATAATTACAGTTTAACTGTAGTGAAATTTGTGGTAGGATTATTAAAAAATCTGATAAGTAAAGATACTCTATTTCGACTCAGATTCCCAACCACTTTCTTAAATGTCTGTTAAGCCAATTGAAAGAATAAATACAAAATGCAAATTCTTTTTGGGACTGCTAGGTATAGGATTTTGCTTTGAAATGTTGTTTTTGAAACACACTTTGCCAAAGCAGTCATCTTTCTGTTTCTACAGGATAAAGAGTTCTGGTGGCACGGTGGTTAAAGTGCGTGGCTGCAAACTTCCCAGCTGCTCTGTAGAAAGTAAATGGGGCCATAAGTGTCTGCAAAGGTTTATGTTCTATAAAGTCACTGTGAGTCACGGCTGACTCAGTGCTGTGGGTTTGGATTTAGTAGAAAGAAAAGGAGCTGAAGAGACAAGTTCTTATCTTCAAATAATGTCACTCTTGACTAACCACTTTCTACAGGTTTTCATAATATGCAAGCTATTATTATATATGTAAGTGTAAGCAAATGTAGCTGTCTCAGGTTACCCCCTGTATTCTTTACAACCATCATATTTGTATTTCCCTGCCCTTTTTATTGTATTGAGTAGAGCCTGGGAAAATGTTAATCTTTCTGTCCTTTTTTTTTTTAATAGGTGGAATACATGTTAGTATCTTTTGATCATGAAAAGAAAAAAGTCCAGTTGGTCCTGTCTGGAGAGGAAGTTCTTGAAACTCTACAAGAAAAAGGCGAAAGGGCAAACCCAAAGTAAGCCGGTGTACTGAAAAAAAAATCTGTCAAATTACTGGAATCAAATCTTAGAAGGGAGAAATAGAATAGTCTGGAAGTTAAGGGTACCCGCTGTGGGTTCAAATTCTGATTCTTAGTTGCTGGATAAACTTGGATAAGCCTCAATTTCCACATTTATAAAATAAGAGATAGTAACAGTACTTGGGGAACTCTGGTGGCCTAGGGGTAAGGAGTTGTGCTTCCAACCTGAAGGCATGTGGTTCAAATCCACTAATTGCATCATAGGAGTAAGATGGGCAGCCTCTTCCCATGTGATTTACAGCCTCTGCAAACCTCCTACAGGGTCATCTATGGTTTGATTGAGACTTGATGGTACAAAACAACAGTATAATAGTTACTGGAGGGAGATGGTTAGCGCTAGTGGCTTAGTGGTAAGAACTGCGCTGCCAGCCTTAAGGAACACAATTTTAATCTACCAGCTGTTCCATGAAAGAAAGAATGGTAGTCTTCTCCCTTGTGATTTAAAGCCTCTGAAAACTCACTGCAGGACCAACTATGGGCCTGTTTTGACTCAACAGTATATAACAGTAGCAGTAGTATTTGTGTTATAGAGTTAATATGAAATAGATTAACATGTTAAAACACTTAGAATAAGGGAGCTCAGGTGGCCTAGTGGCAAGAAGCTGCACTGCAGTCCTGAAGGCGCCCAGTTCCACCAAATGTTCTGCTGGAGGAGGCGCAGTCTCCTCCTGTGCCAGTTGGATCCAATTCAACGGTACACAGCAAGGAAAAAAAAACCCACTTAGAGTTATTAGCATAATATGGATCTTGTTTGCTCTTAACATTGGTTTTGGGTTTTTTTTTTAAAGCCACGTTTTTCCCCCATAGATTTCCTTTTATTGAATTTTTTACTGTTATAGAATTTTTGCATTGCCAGAACCTTGCTTGAAAATTCAAAGAAATAAATGGTACAATGGACAGCTTCATCTAACCATCGTGCAGTATATAAAACTTGGATTGATGTGCATTTTGGTAATTTCACAATCTCTACAAAGTTTTGTCAAGAGTTGAATTTTTAAATCTACTGCAAGTCTTCAATTACTAGTACACTATACCATTAAATAACACTTCCACACATTCCATGTCAATTCATTCCTCAGTTACATAAACCCCAGTATGATTTTGCTGGAAGAGATGCATTCTTTCCTGGGAAAATTTGTCGCTCCATGACCAAGAGATTACTAGTTAAGATTTTTGGTTCCCAAACAAAGTATTCTGTTTAACCAAGAATCCCTTGTTTCTCTGGATCAACCAGTCTTTCGTTGGCTCACCTATTCACCTCAACACCTCAGAAAGCAGGTAGCCTGTCTACCACCTCAAATAATGCCAACGTTATTGCTCAGAAATAGTTGGCAGGTCCTATCAGGAGATACTGTACTTCTCCTTAGTGTCCAGTTCCTGTACTGACACTTTTTATCTAGACTGAATGCCTGTTAAAAATTGCTCCCCTGTCAGGATAGCTTTGCTCCCCCATTTGCTTCATTCTTGCCAGTAGCAAGCCTACAGCTTTATTATGGATTCACAAGCCCTGGTATTAGATAAAACTTGCAGATTGGTTTTGTTTGGCTACCACGTTTAAAAAATACTATGGTCATTTACGTAGACAAAAGAAAGAGGTGCACGCACTCTCTATAGTTTGTTTTCTGCAGTCCAGGCCACTCAAAGGATTTGAAGAGGCCACATTTGAGTTTGGAGCCCAAGCACTGAGCCTAAAGAGTTCTTAAGGTCTCACCTCCTCTCCTGCAGTGAACTGTCTTGTCTTGGACACAGAATGTGACGTTGGACACAGAATGTGGTGGTGTGCATTTTCAGTTATCTTGGGCCCAGTTCTTTCTTATGCATAGTTTAAAAGCAACAGCCTTTAGGAATATTCTTATTTAGTTAATTATTTCTGTGTAGATTTTAAAGCTCAAGTAGACCAGAGCTATTAATCAGAACTGACTTTTTTCTCTCTGTAGCCATCCTACTCTTTGGAGACCAGAGTATGGGAGTTACATGATCGAGGGGACACCCGGACAGCCTTATGGAGGAACCATGTCTGAGTTCAACACAGTTGAAGATAACATGAGAAAACGTCGGAAAGAGGCTACCTCTCTATTAAAGGAAAATCAGGCTCTTTGCACTATAACTTCCTTTCCCAGGTTAGTTCCTAGATTATAAAAGGTTTCAGCAGATGTCTCAGAGCTGTAGGTTATAAAGAGAGCAGTTGGTGACACGACCGCTTCACCCTGCATTTCTTATATAAGCTGTCCATGCTTTTTTATGGCACCTGATAGCTTCTAAAATGTCAGTACTACCTGACAAGCAGAAATCCAGATCAGCTGCAGTGTGTGGTGGCTGCCCAGAGCACTGTGGTGAGAACATGGACAAGATGGTGATGCCTGAGAAGCAGTGCCTGCAACAGGTGGGGGCATGGTACGGAACAGTGTCTGACCCTGGACGGCAGAGCTGCCTCTGACAATTACAGGCTCTTATTTCATGGTGAAGATTGCTCCTTTGCACACTTTCAAAAGAAACACTTGCCCCCAGCATGTGGTGGGGTTTTGACAGATCAGAGGCTCACCCCTTGAAGAGCTACACTAAGTATACCTTAAGGACTATTGGATACTAAGTAACATTGGATAGTCATGTTGAATATCATGGTGATAAGAAGGTAAGAGAATTGTTATATGCCATCTAGTCACTTGCGACTCATAGTGCACCTACATATAACAGCTCTGAACCCTGCTCTATCCTGTGTCACCTTGTCTCTGACACACCTACCTCTATTACCCCAGTATTGAATCAGTTCATCTCATTGAGGGTCTTTCTCTTCCACCCTCCCAAGCATGACGTCCTTTTCCAAGGACTAGTCCCTCCTTACAACATGTACAAAGTATGTCCGAAGAAGCTTCAGAATCCTTGCCTCCAAGGAGCAACCTGGTTTAACCCTCCTCTCTAGGACGAATCTTTGTTCTCCTAGCAGTCTATGGTATATTTAATACTTGGATATTATTAAATCTAGTTAAGATTGAAATGTCTGAAAAAGAAATATTGTGAAATTATGTTTTTGATGTAGAATAAAGTATATAAATAATTCTAGGTATTCTAGGACCTCTTCATAAGAATGCAGTTCTACTGAATTAGTAAACTGGTTTATCGACATTAGATAGCTGTCAGATCTGTATGATAAGTATGCTCACCTCTTAGGAGTTCAGAAGAGCTTCACAGGTTAGTATTGCTAGTGTACAGCACTTTGAACTGTACTTTTTTTAGCTGTTTTTATTATCTTTTTAACCTCTTGATTATAATGCCTATAATGAATTCAAGCATTCAGAGTCAATAAAAATAAACCAGAAGTAAAATATATATATATAAAAGCAGCTGGATTAGAATTGACAGATTCATTTTCTTTAAAAAGTTGCTCTTTTGCCTTCATGGTTGAAAGAGAAGGGAAAAAATTTCTTTGCCATTTCCTCAGATTCTCAAGTGTTTGCTTCGCATGAGACTGGGGCCATCTCTGGGGATCAGTCACGAGTGAAAACAGGTAGTTTGTCTCCACAGAGCTGATGGTCTGGTGAATGAGACAAAGGTTAACCAAATGCCCACAAGTCCAAGTAATAGAAAATTGAAGCTGTACTATGAGGAAGAGCTGTGGAGTAAAGAGAAGGATTGAGGGGCTTGGGAGTTGCAGAAAATTATTGGAATGGCCAGAGTATTAGAGTTTACTAGGTGTGAAAGAAAAATAATAACCTAGGGAGAGGGAGTAGCATGCACAGAAGTCCTAGGATGAGCCTTAAGGAACATGGAGCCTTGTGAGAACTAGAAAGAAGGCTGGCTGATGTGACTGGGATACTGAGAATGCAGTGGAGAGTGAGATTAGGTAAGGCTGGAGAGGTCATTGCTAAACGAGACCACACGAAGAATTAGGGTTGTTCTCTTAAAGCAGTAGGAAACCACTGGAAAATTGACTGGGTGGGTAGCATATTTTTGTTTTTTAAATCCTCCCCTGGGCTGTAGTGCCAAGACTTCCCAGGAAACCATAAAGATAATGAGTCAGGAAGGGACAGAAGCTTCCATTTGCTTTACTTTCACCAAGTTTGTTTTACTCTCACACTTAACTTCAAAATTCCCAATGTAGGAAGGACTGATGGTGTCATTGCAAGTGATCTGGAACATGAACTTTACATTTAGGCTGAAATGTGAAGCTTTCTTTTTCTGTGTTGGAATTAAAACTCTTCTCTAGGTCAAGTGAATTAACAGTTGGGTGTCCGTTTTCAACTGGAGAGACGCTACTTAATTGTAAGGGATTTTAGGAGTTGACATGCAGAAACAAATTTTAACTGGTCCCAGATTCTGAGCCCAAGAAGATATTAGGGGAAGTAATGATAATATACAGGAGTCAAAAGTAATCCAAGAATTTCAAGCTAGTAAAAGAGTAGTTAATTTATTATAATTATATTATAATTCTTTATAGGCATTAGTCAAGGGGATAAAAAAATACCAAAATGACATTAGACAATATGTCATTAGACACTAATAAACTCCTATGATCAAAGGATATAACTTCTGTGTGGTCAGTACTAAAGAGATGGGAAGGTGTAATAACTAGGAAAATACTTAGTGGGACTTTCTGATAAAGTTATTAAAGAGTTGGAATCAGAAAAGAGAATCTTGGTGAGAAGATACCAAAGGAGCCAAGGGGATATCTGTCAGCTAGAACCTTGGGAAGGGAAGTGATAGAAGTAGAGTACTTTAACAGGTACAATGATGGTGAAACACAGTTAATTCCTGAAAACAAATGCTGTCTATTTAGTTCTATAATTTGTTGTAGATTAGGCTGTGCTGGATTCACAGTGCCTGAATATAAACCCAACCCAGTCGAAGGAGGAGCTTCCAAGTCCCTCTTCTTTCCAGATGAAGCAATTAACAAGCACCCCCGCTTCAGGTAAGTATGCCTTTGTGTTTAGGTGCAGGTGACGCTAGCATAGAGAGATCCTTGTCTTCTGGAACAGTAATAATCCTGATGAGAATACATGTAGTGCGTTCTGGCTCCTTAATTAGAGAAGACCATAGCCATACTTGTTCATAGCCTTAGTACCCCGAGGCTCCTTAGTTACTGCTTTTTCCATACAGCTTGGCTTGTCCATTTTCCAACTCATTCTAAAGCCATTAGCTTTAGAATTAGCCATTAGTGCCCTGCCCTTTAATGAGCAGATTCTTGTCTGTCTTAATTCTGTGTAGATCGGTATTGACCAACTTCCCGTTAGTTACTCCTGCATTTATTACTCCTTTCCTTGAATCACCGCTTCACCTCTCATTGCTGTAGAGTCAGTTCCAACGCATTGCTGACTGTACATCAGATTCCCAAGGCTGTAGACTGCACAGGAGGAGACTGCCTGCCTTTACCCTTCAAAGCATTTGGTAGATTTGAACCACCAGAGAGATAGTCTTTTTACAAACAGGGCAACTGCCTAGAGACTGCAACACCGGATCTCGCTAGCATCTATAATATGCTTATCTTATCCTTTTTAATTTGATAATAAAGTACAGTGTATATAGCGTGTAGTGGGTACTATCTTCTGTTAATTTCTAGACCTGCTGGTTTATAGTTTGAAGCTTAGCTTTCTTTAGTTGCTTCTGAATCGTAACCAATCTGATCTTGTACCTATAATCTTAAACTACTTTAAGAGTGTACTGACCCATCATCCTAAACCTAGGCTCCTGTCCTGCGTTAGGGATTTGAGACTTCTCAGTGTTCATACTCATGTCTGCAACATACAGTCTTTCTGGGGAGACAAAGATTTACAGACAGAATTCCCAGCTTAAACAACCTAATGCATTCTAAGGGCAGGGGAGCTCTGGCAGTTTAGTGCTAAGGAGTGTGCTACCAATCAAAAGGTACACGATTTGAACCCACCAGCTTCTTCATATGGGAATGCTTGACAGTCCTCCCATATGATTTACAGCCTCTGAAAACATTCTGGAGGGTCAGCTACGAGTCAATTCCAAATAAAATTAAAGAAAAGAAAGGTTTTAATGACAAGTGTCAAAAGCTGGTAGCACCGGAGGCCTTTCTGTAGAGACAGGAGGATACTTCTGTCTGGGAGCGTCCCAGCGGCTTCTGAAGAGAAGTGGCAGATTCTGTCGGTAGCAGCACTGCCATATGCAAACAATGTGAGCCATAGCTGTCATTTGAAATTTTCTACTTAGCATTAAAAATAGTAAAAAGCAGGGTAACTTAACATTTAATACTTCTTTCATTTACCCCGGTATGTCTAAAACATTATCATTTTAATATCTTATTGTTGTCATGTTCCATCAAATCGCCAGCAACTCACAGTGACCCCACATACAACAGCCCTAAACCCTACTCTATCCTGTGCCAATCTTAAGGTCAGACACACCTACCCCCCATTACCCTGTCACTGAATCAATCCATCATATCGAGGGTCTTCCTCTCCTGCACTGTCCCTCCACCTTCCCAAGCATGACATCCCTCTCCAGGGACTGATTCCACCTTGCAGTATGTCCAAAGTATGTCAGACGGAGCTTCAGAATCCTCACCTCCAAAGAGCAGCCTGGCTTTACCCTCTCCAAGACAAGCTTTTATTTCTCCTAGCAGTCTGTGGTATATTCGATACTCTTATATAACACCATAGCTCAAAGGCATCAATTCCCCTTCTATCATCCCTAGTCATTATCCAACTTCCTGATGCATAGCAAGTTATTAGAAAGATCATGACTTGTATCAGGCACACCTTAGTCTCCAGAGTGACACCATTGCTCTTCAGTACTTTGGAGAGGCCCCTAACAGCAGACTTTCCTAATGCAAGTCATCTTTTGATTTCCTGGCTGCTGATTCCAACAGTGTTGATAATAAAGTACAAACTGAAATAAAGCAAACTGAAGCTGTTAACAATCTCAGTCTCTTCACAGTCTATCATGATGCTGCCAAAATAGTAATTATTTTAAAATAGAAAATATTACTTTATTTTTGTGCTTTTCAAAACCTTAAACTTTGAGACCCTTGTAATTAGGACTAACAAAACTCACACGTTTAACAGCCACAGTGTGCCTGGTAGCTTCGGAACTGAATAGCACAAGATTAGAGGATAAATATTAATGCTTTAGGTTGTGAGGAGGGAGTAATGAAACCTAAATTTTGTTCAGTAGGGCAGCAGGGTTTGAGGAGGGGAGAGAATGATACTCTTAAACAAGTCAAGAAAGTTTTATTAGTGGTTATCAGTGCAGCATGCTGTGGACTATACCACCAGAACGCCTAAGGAAGTGATATTAATGGAGTACTTTCTTAATATCCTGACATTCATATTTTCTAGGGCTGTCTTAGGAAATAGTTTGAGACATTTGGAGTCATTTTATTTATTTATATGTGATTAAATTTTCATTTTATGTGATGGTTTTGTGATGGCCAATTGGTGACATTTGGTTATCTGTTTTAGTACCTTAACGAGAAATATTCGACATAGGAGAGGAGAGAAGGTTGTCATCAATGTCCCAAGTAAGTCCACAACGAGGTGGTGGAAAGGGGTAGGTTTTTGTTGAGTGTTTAATCCTTGACCCTCGACTGCTGGTTTCTTTTTTTTTTTTCTTTTTAAAACAGTATTTAAAGACAAGAACACGCCGTCTCCATTCATTGAGACATTTCCTGAGGATGAGGAAGCAGCACGGGCTTCTAAACCTGATCATATTTATATGGATGCCATGGGATTTGGGATGGGCAATTGCTGTCTTCAGGTATTGTATTGCTTCAAATATTCTGGGAGACAAAATGTCTGTGTTCCTTTCTATTTGTGGACTTCACTTTTATGTATAAAGATATCTGGTGGTGTAGCACCTTGAATGTTGTGCTGCTAACCAGAAGGTTAATGGCTCCAGTGTACCAGCTGCTCTGCAGGAGAAAGGTAGGAAGTTTCCCGTTACTCTCCACAGCCTTGGAAACCAGATGGAGGGTCACCATGAGTCAGAATTGACTCAGAGCAGTGGGTTTGAGTGTAGGGCTTTACAATTTATGTATGTCTATACACATGTATTTTATGTACTTATAAATAAATATATGTGTATAGTATGTATATATTGTTCACCACCAAGTTTAACCAACCCATAGCTGACCCTCTGGTAGGTTTTCAGAGGCCATTAATCGCACAGGAAGAGATTGCCCATCTTTCTCCCTTGGAATAGCTGGTGGGTTCAAACCACAAGCCTTCCGGATTATAGTGCAGCTTCTTGCCACCTGAGCTCCCTATGTGTGTGTGTGTACACACACACACAAACATATAGACATGTTTTATTTTAAAATTCACATTTTAATCAGATTTAAAATTATAGCTGATTACTTTCTGAAAATCAGTGATTTTAGTTTAAACACTGGAAGCTGTTTCATGACTAAATTTTACAGTGTTAGTTGTTAATGTGAAATGTGCAGTTTGCAACATATCTAATGTGTACTGCCATCTAGTGACAGTTTAGCTTTCAGAATGTAAGCATATTTATTTCCAAAAATAAGCTCCACTGGAGGCACTCCAGAGTCTTTGTGGTCCAAGGGAAGAATTTAAATTTTTACATTTATACAAATTCCATAGCAAGTTGTGCCCCTACCCCGAAGACCGAGCCTCAGGTGGTTTGCCTCTGGCAGCGGCTCCTTGGGAGAAAGGTGGGCAGTGTCCTCCTGTGCAACTCGCAGCCCGTCTGAGGGTTGGTATGAGGGGGATCCAACTGAATGGCAGCAAGGTTGAGTTTGGACTGTCTAGTAAAATCAATAAACATGTAGTTAACAGTCCCTGTTTGCCTTCTACAGAATGATCTTTTGTCTGTTTACAGTATGCTTGAAATTTTTCTTGATTTAGGTCACTGGTGTCTGTGCAGGCTGGTCTCAGGGAGTGATTATACCCACATTCATTTAGGGTGTGAGTGGGAGAGTATGGAGCCCCTTGTGCAGGCTACAATCTGTATTCTATATTGGCGTCTCTCACTACTCAATTTGGGCAACTCACCTCACTTCTTTGACTTTGTTTTTCTGATTGGTTCAAAGAAAGGTGTATATTTAAGGTCACTTCTAGGTGTGAATATCAGCTAATACTTATTTTATTGTTCTTATTAAAATACATATTTTCATCCATAACTCAATGCAAATCATGTTAGAACAAGAGTTGTTAAATACCATCAAGTCAGAACAGACCCATAGCTAACCTTCCAGCAGGTTTTCAGAGGCAGTAAATCATACAGGAGGAGATTGCCCATCCTTCTCTCCACAGAGCAGCTGGTGGATTCAAAGTGCATAGTTTCTTGCCATTGGGCCACAAGAGGAGTTAAAATTATAAATTTTCATATATGTATTCATATAAAGGTAAATGTAATTCATTTGATAAAATAAGACTTAGCAAAAAAGAGCAGGTGGATGAGGCATACCGGTTACTACTGCCCTAGACAATTTTTAGTTCATTTTGATTACCTAGGCTGGTTAGAAATAGTGTCTTTAAAGACTTAAAGCTGTTCAGAGCCTGATGCACACCAGGTAAGGCTCCTCTGGGCCTCCAGCCTGGTCACCCTCAGTGCAGAAGCAAAGAAACCCAGTGTTGCCATCCTCAAACCGCTGCTGCGTATACTATACCTAGACACACCTTGCAAAGTTGCTTTGGTTCTTTTTTTTTTTTTCTTTTTCGAAACAGTGTACAATTATGTATAGCATCTGTGATAACATTTTTTGAAATAAAACAGTGTGTGATTTATACATTCGTATGAATACCATAATGTCTGGTTCTGCTGTTTTTTTAGGCGTTAAGGAAATTAACATAAACAGCATCTCCATGTCTGATACAGAGCCTTTGATAATTTCATTAGCCCTGCAGCTTTCAAGGAGCCCAAATGGTGCAGTGGGTTGCATATTAATCTCTTAACTGAAAGATTGGAGGTTTAAATCCACCAGTCACTCTACAAGGATAGGTCGGCAGCCTCCACACGGTCTCAGAGCCCAGTGAAGGGTTGCTGTGAATCTGCAGTGGGTTTTCATTTTGTAGTTTTCCATGGAGCTGGTACTTTTAACAGCTTGTAGAATTTCTTTTCCTTGTTTGAAGTTTGCCATGATTGTTGGGTGTGACATGGCCTAAATGGTGAGCGCTCACTGATTTTTCCATCTGTGTGTTTGATAACGTTTTATTTCACTTCAAATTGATTATTTTTCTTTGCTTCTTACTGTTGCTATTAGCTGTGTTTGAGAGCATATTTTCCCCCAAACAAAATAAAAAAGATCAGTGCTTCAGTCCTGTAATATATGAGATTGGATATTACTACCTGAAAGTCAAGCATAGCCTACTGATAAACTTTTTAGATGCAAAGTACACTACAGAACAGACAGAAGCCAGTAGCATAGTCCTTTTATTAGGACATACTAAGCAAGGCATGGATTACAGATTGTATTTGTGTATACTGTTGTACACTCAGAAACACGGTCACTTTGTTTACAAGAAACATGAAATGCACATGCTGTGTGTGGAAAGCTATTGTGCTTGCTATATCTTATTCTCCCATCATGGAACTCTTAGGATCTTATGAGACCATAGCCATATATCTAGTCAGACATGGCCTGAATGGATGTTATGAGGTACATGACTGTAATCAAAATGCAGTACCAGAGCCAGGTTTTTCCACACTGAATATGTTTGATTAACACAACCATAGATAAAATTTTTCCTGCTTTTCCTACATTCATACATAATATAAAATACAAGGCTTCCAAACAAGCATAGGCTAGTAAGTTTCCTTTCATATGGTCACTTTTTGTTTTATAAAGAAACCTTCTGACTTTCAATCTGCTTTCCTGTCTTTATGGCAGATATTTCTAAAGTGAACCATTAAGCACTAGAACACACGGTCTCTGGCTCTAAAATTGTATTGTGCAATTATGAGATCAGAGATTGCCTTTTCTTGGTTTAATATTAAACCAGAGTATTTTGCCAGGTACAGAGCAGCTGTTGTCATATAATTTTTAATAAGATACTCTTTCCCTTGAAAGACTGTTTATAGAAACAAGCATGTCTGATGACAATTATGAACATTTTTATTGTCTTTAAATTAAATGTTCTGTGTGATTTAAACTTTGTCTTAGGCTTAGAGGTATGTTTTCTTTTTCTTAATAATAATATCCAACACTTTTGTTTCAGTACTCCATTTTAAAAATAACATTAACTCAAACAGTAGAAAATACGTGGCAGATGTGATCAGTCAATTCTACATGTCACCAGAGAATTCTCTGCTTAGTATCTTCCTTAAGTAGACCACTAGAAACTACTTATTAGTAAAACAGAAAAAGGTAATGGTAAAGAATTTTTTAAGGATTAATTAAAGACGTGGAGTGCAAAGTAAGTGGCATCTTAACCACATTTCATATTGTTGATTCTAAAGACAGCTTTTCAGAAATCATTCAATAAGAAGCAAGTTTATCACATATTATGATAGATTTTCCTCTCTAAGAAAATTGTGTAGCTTCAAAACAAGATTCTAAGGAAATTTTAAAAATTTGCTTCCAGTATCTGTTTCTCCCCTTCTGCAGTCCCCCTTGTTGGTTTTGCAGTGACACACATGATGCTTTAAAGGGATACCAGAAGCCCAAGTTGATCATCTGTAGGAGCTCTTTCTCAACCCCCAGCCATTATCTGTAGTAATGCTCTCTAGGATATGATAATTTCTATATATTTGAGGCGTATTATCAGGAAGGGTCATCCCATGGAGAAGATGCTTAGAAAAGTAGCAGCAAAGAGGAAAACCTTCATCAATATGAACTGACACAGTGACTATAGCAGTGGGTTTAAGCATAGCTGACTTCTAAGCAGGGTGCAGGATTGGGCAAGGTTTCATTCTGTTGTCCACCAGGGTGCTGTAAATCAGAGCCAAATCCACAGCACCTGACAGCAACATACCTGTCTGTATCAACGTAGATTCATAAGAGGACCTGGAATAGTGGATGCTATTGGTGATGTCTGATGAACCTCAGCTGGATGCAGAAAATACAGAAAGATCATTATCTGTGTTATTGACTATGCAAAGGCATTTGACTGGGTGGATTATAACAAATTATGAATAATATTATGAAGAATGGGGATTCCCGAAGACTTGTGCTCTTGTAGAACCTTTGCATAGACAAGGAAGCAGTCAGCCAAACAGAACAAGGGCATACTGTGTGGTTTTTAAAATGAGACCTATTAGGTCTGTCTGTTGAGCAGATTGTATGAGAAGCTGGACCTTGTGAAGAACAGAATGGCATCAGGATTGGAGGAAGGGTCATTAACACTCTGTAATAAAACCTTGCTTGCTGAAAGTGAAGACGGATTAAACTTCAACATACAACAAAAAATCCTCATAACTGGACCAGTAAACAACGTAATGGTAAGCAGAGAAAATACTGAAGATAACAAAAGTTTTGTATTACTTGGATCTACAATCAATATTGATGAAAGCAGCAGTCAAGAGGAACTCAAAACAACACAGTGCATTGGACGGACACATCTGCTGCTGAGTTTCCAAAGCTGAATGCAAGTCATGACAGAAAGAGACTGCCCATCTCGTGCAGAGCTGGTGGATTCCAGCTGCCGGAGGTGTACTGCCTTTGAGTTAGCACAGAATGCCTTCAGTTTTCACCTACTTCCCAATCCTCAATCCTTTCTCTATTTTAACCTTTGAAGTCTTTTTTTTCTTGATGCAAACACAGCTCTGATTTATGTTGAATTAATTTCTAATGGTTATTTTAATTCCTTAATTAAAATAGTATACTGACTTATGCTTTTTAAGGGATCTGATAGAACAAGATATTAATTTGTCGAGTAATTTTCTTCTAGTTACCATACTGATATGAAGTGCTAGCATAATTCACCAAGGAAACCTGTTAAGTCTTCAGCAGAGGCTATCTGCTGTTCAAAAACAAAGTTAATACCTATTTAAAATTATTGAAATTATTGTTATAAAATGAAACGTATGAGTAACTGAATGAAAACCAATTAAAAAAAAATTTAAAGACCACAGTTAACTTTTTTAGCCAAGAAAAAAACCTAATGAAACTAAAGTAGCATTGTTAAAGTAAACATTCAGTGCTTCTATTTCAGCTCTTTAAAAATCACATTTTTTTCTTGCACCAGCACTGAATTCAAACTGTCATAATTACGTACTGATAAAATATATGATGAAACGTTCACCAATTTAAAGTTTATGTTACAAACATTCTACTACAAACAACTTAACACTCCTACCCTTCCCTGTTCCCCAAGAGGTTACATCTTTTTTTTTTTTTCCTTCCTTTCTGGGAGAAAGAAAAGGGTTCTTTGAGGTGATAGTATTACAGAGCTTGTGCTGACCACCTACATTTTCTCTTTTCTGCCAAAATTAAGTGTTGCCCCTCTCGCATATGTATCCTAAATCTCAGTTTCAAGAGACCATCTGAGCCTTCTCCAGCTCTGGTGGGTTTGATTTCCCCCCACCCCCACCCCACCCCAGTCCTAGAAACCCAGCCAGTTTGTTTTCTGGTTTCCTAAGTCTAGGTGTCATGGCACATCTGTTTCTTAAACTTCCTCTTCCTGTATATCCTAGAACAGCCCAGGCAAAACCTGAGCCCATCCTTTCAAAGTAAAAGTGGGAAGCTGAACAGGGATATAACCCAGTAGAAGAGGAAATGCTGCCCTGCTGAACTTCACTATGTATCGTCTATCTTGGGAATGATTATTTACCTGTATTAGTTATCTGTATGTATTAGAACATGATTCAGTACTATATTCTAGCAAAGTTTATCCAAGACTATACAGAGGCTCCTGTAGTAAGTGTTAAGAGAATCACCATACAGTCTTTGCCCTTGCCACTGCCCCTCTTAGACATTATTGCTTAGGGACGATGATAATTTGCATTTCGTTGTTAATAACTTGCAATTCTTAAACAGGTGACATTCCAGGCCTGCAGCATATCTGAGGCCAGATACCTTTATGATCAGTTGGCCACAATCTGTCCAATTGTCGTAAGTAGAAATTGAAATTATATATTATTTCAAAATGTCTTAATATTAAAATGAGCACAGATACAAAAAATTTGCTGTGTGCAGTTCAGATTTGGGTAAGACTTTGTCAGAAATGAACTAGCAAATAGTGTTCAGGTTCAGCGCTAATGAAGTGTTATGAACTGTATGAAAGTTCACTGTTGGTAGTAAAGCATTTATTTGTGAAGGGTCATTTTCACTCATCTCTCTCATGTCCTCACATTATATAGACAATCTGGGTGAATTAAATCCATGCATTAGGGTGGTTTCTTGGATGCACTGCTCAAATGCAGGGATCAGTAGAAGATGTTTTATAACTGTGTGGGTTGAGTAATCTCATCGTTTTGAGCAGAAGGATGCCTACAAGGGGGTTTTGTGCGGCATGCACCTCACACTTTGCACCTGCAAGTTCTGGCTTTTGTTTGTTTTCAGATGGCCTTGAGTGCTGCGTCTCCTTTTTACCGAGGCTACGTGTCAGACATTGACTGTCGATGGGGAGTGATTTCTGCATCTGTTGATGATCGAACTCGAGAGGAAAGAGGATTGGAGGTGGGATGAGTTCTCTTTAATAACCTTTATAAATCCACAGTAGGGTTGATTGTAACTAGTTTCCATTTTGAAGTTTTCTTTAAATTATTATTGCATGAGTTAGACCCTTATGAGAAGAACCTCACAGGTTTTAAACTTGGTTTTGTTCCTGACCTTTGACTTCATAGTGTTTGGTGTGAATGTGTGGGAGGCGTGACTTGATTGCAGCGGGGAGTTATTCTTCCCGCCTGTTGATGTTTGTCCTTGATTTAGAGTCTCTTCTAACTAGTGGTGCTGTTTGTCAGTGCTGACAGCTGGGGTTTGTTGTATTTGGTTTGGTATGGGGTTTTTTGTAATTATTAATTTCTTGTGTTTTTTACCAGCAAGCTTTTCTGGCCCAACCTGAGTGCTTCATAAATGGTTTTGCCACCAAAATGTAATCTACTGTCAGAATTACTCGCATACAGCATTAGGTTTTGCCTGAAATAGTCTGGTTATGTCTCATATCATTGCTTATATCTTAAGCTGTTCTACCACTCTTCATCCAAGGATATGTTTGTGTCTGAACTTCTTGTGAAGAACTTTAAAAATAGTCAGGCACCATCCTGACATCCTATCTTCAGAAATAGGACTTGGGCATAGATGTGCACAAAGGAGTCCCCATGTTATAATATCACCAGCCAGGGATGTACTATCACTTTGGCCTTTTCTATTAAGGCAGCTTTCTAAATAAATTTTAAATGCTAGATCATTCTGTAATCTTTGTTATATATACATTATAGATTTATTTTGGCTTTCAACCTTGACATTTCTTTTCTTAACATAAAATAGAAGTGTCTCATGTTAAGATTGCGTATTTTCCTATAAATTGTTAGTATATCTAAAGTTACGTAGCATTTTAACACATTTATTTCCAGGTCTTTTCTATAACATTTATGCTTTTTTTTCTTCTCACCAATTTTAGCCGCTGAAGAATAACAGCTATAGGATCAGTAAATCCCGGTATGACTCAATCGACAGCTACTTGTCTGAGTGTGGGGAGAAGTACAATGATATCAACTTGACGATAGATAAGGAAATCTATGAACAGCTCTTGCAGGAAGGTGGGTGTTCTCTGCTTCTTTCTAGATTTGCTTGTACGCCTTTAGTTCTTCAAAGCTCTTTTAAACTTTATTGCTGACTCCTGGTCTGGTTTCTATTTTTAGTGTGAAGTCTCTAACTTTTCTTATGAGGCTGCTTGTTCCTAAAGTTTCAAGTTCCAAATACTTGTGAGATCTTCTTGACTTTTAGCAAAAGGAACTTACTTTGGAGGTCTGTATCTAGGTCCACACCAGTGCCCCAGCAGGCATTGTGTAAGTAGTGAATGACAACGTACCACTTCCCCAGTGTCCATTAGGATAAAGTCCTGGATGAGGTGAGAATACAGAGCAAGCCAGCTGCTTCCTAAGTTTCTAGATGTCCCTTCTTCAAACTTCCTGAGCTGTCCTGTTTTCTCACTGGGCTTCTGGAATGATGGGAACTCTCCCTTTGAGATGAATCTTGTGTAATCTGTCTTTGCAGGCATTGACCATCTCCTGGCCCAGCATGTTGCTCACCTTTTTATTAGGGACCCACTGACTCTATTTGAGGAGAAAATAAACCTGGATGATGCCAATGAGTCTGATCATTTTGAGGTATCTGCTCTATTTTGAACACGTTTCACTTCCTAAACAGAGACATGATGAATTCAGGGAAGTAGACCATTACCCAGTGCAGTAAAGAAGGAAAATTTTTAATTGCCTCAAAGTACCCATATGTTATGATTCATACATATAAATGATGAACATAAGATGTTCATATATAAAATGTTTTTGTTCAGTATTTCCTCTTATTTGCGTTGTTGGTTTTCAGAGGCAGTACATCACATGGGAGGAGACTGTTCTCCTGTGGAGCAGCTGGTGGGTTTGAACCACTTGTTTTTGAGATTGCAGAATAGCTTCTTCCTACTAGGTCACCAGTGTTTGCATAGTGGTGAAAATTCAAACTGAATCTGCTGAATGAAATAACGTGGTCATTTGTTGCAGTCCTGCAGCTTTATCAGCTAACATTTGTGAAAATCTTGCTCTCTTGTCTAGCACGCCATCTTCCACAAATATTTCCAGTTGTGTTCTCCTATTTAGAAAGGAATTTTTTTTTTAAGATATAAACAGTGAGCAAATGAAAGAGTATTTTATGTGAACAGTAGATTGTTTTCCCTAAGTAATTACCAGTATTCTGGAGGTATGTAAAATTACCTTTTTTCTCTGTTATGGTTTGTTTGTTTTTTTTTTATTGTAGAATATTCAGTCCACAAATTGGCAGACAATGAGATTTAAGCCCCCTCCTCCTAACTCAGATATTGGATGGAGAGTAGAATTTCGACCCATGGAGGTAAGATAAAGGCATCAGCAGAGCCCTTTCTCTGCCCACCTTCCTTCTGGAACTTTATCAGGAGGTTCTTAAATATATTGTGAAAATCAAAGCAAGTCCAAAAGCTGTATAGGCTTGACTTCTTTAAGACTAGATTATGATAAGAGAGCTTCCAGATTGAGTGGGAAAGAGGAATGACTCAGAGATTGAGAATGGCGTGAGCGAGGACCCTGGGTAAGGGCAGAGTATACCCTGTGCAGCTGGTCATTGCTTCTCTGGGCTTCTACCTGTCTAGGTTCAACTAACAGACTTTGAGAATTCTGCATATGTGGTGTTTGTGGTGCTGCTTACCAGAGTAATCCTTTCATACAAATTGGATTTTCTCATTCCTTTGTCCAAGGTAAGAATGTATTATTTCATTATAATGAGACAGATAATGTATATCAATATCCGCTAGTATTAACTCATTCATACATAATACTAATTCCAGATACGATTTCATTTCAAACTGTTCACCCTTTAAATAAACTAAACCTAGTCCTGTGTTGTGGATTTGGGCACAACATAATTGGGACTAATGGATACCCTAGGCTGGGGAAGGCCATGAGTTGCTCATGGTAGATCTTTGCTTACTTAGCCCATTCAAAATAGATTTAGGGTTGAATATGAAAACCACTTATTTCTGGAGAATTTCTGCTCAAATGATGGTTAAAGTCCCACAAAATTAGTGGATAATAATTCCTGGAGTGTAAGGAGAATCCTCTTCAACGGAAATAGAATGATTTCCAGAAATTACAGATGATGCTATGGTTTTAGATAAACTAATGCATTCGTACTGAGAATACCATGGACTGCTAGGAAAACAAATAGATTTGTCCTGGAGAGGGTTAAACCGGGTGGCTCCTTGGAGGCAAGGATTCTGAGGCTCCGTCTAACTTACTTCGGACATGTAGTGAGGAGAGACCGGTCCTTGGAGAGGGACATCATGCTTGGGAGGGTGGAGGGACGGCGCAGGAGAGGAAGGCCCTCTATGAGGTGGATTGATTCAGTGACTGGGATAATTGGGATGGGAGTGTCAGAGACAGTGCGATTGGCACAGGACAGAGCGGAGTTTAGGGCTGTTGTACATAGGGTCGCTATGAGTCGCAGGCGACTCGACGGCACATAACAACAACAACAACAATGCATTCGTGAACATCCAGCCCAACAAAGACCAAAACAGGAGCTTTCTAGGGTCCTTTTCCAGCAGAACCGTGGGGGAAGATGGGGTTGCAGGCAGTAGGTTGTATTGTAGGAACTTGGATTCCTGGACCAGTGGCTTTTCTTGGCACAGAAAGTAGTTGGGGAAACTGCTAGGCAGAGTGCAGGACCTTCCCAGAAGGTAAGTCTTAAAGCAGAAATAGAGAAACCCTTTCAGAACATGGAAGGAAAAAATAAGCCTTAGCCCAGCATCTGGCTCAGTGTGCCTCACTCCCTCCTTCCTGCATGAAGATTTTTGCTGCCCTGTGCCTGAAGGAAGCCCCCCTGTCTATGAATCTGGTCTGACTGTCCATCATACCCATGACAGAGTTAACCTGTAGAATTCTCTGGGCCCATGTTGCTCTTATATGTACACCTGTTAAGAGATCAGATCCATCGAGAGTTTTCTGACAGACTTGGGGACTTGACAGCAACTGATTTGTTTTTAATAGTCGGCAGTAGAGCATATGTAGAAAAGTACCAAGCTAGTGCCTTAAGCCATATTGAGAGACTCTCCCAACAAGATGGTAATAAAGTGGAAATTATGAAGACTGAAACATAGAGAATTGCTAGTTAGAGAAAGATAAGGAAACTATCAATCAATTAAAATAGGTTGTATTCTAAACTACTAAGGAGGATGGGGAAAGGAATAGTAAAAACTACATCACTGCCATAAAAGTAGGTTAGGATGTGAAAGAATTGGTAAAACATAACCCACAGAAAACAAAGTGGTAAAAATGGGACAAATTTAAATAGATTAAACTCTCCTATGAAAAAGCAAAAATTAATAAAAAAATAGCAATATTGTAGTATATGGTATTTATAAGACATCCCTAAAATCAAGACAAGTGTTGAAAATAATGAGCTAAATAATCATCTTCTTTTAAAAAGATACAAGAAGGCAAAGTAATACTAGACAAAATAAAATCAAGGTGGTAGTTCTTAGGTGTCGTTGAGTCACCTGTGACTCATAGCGACCCTGTGAACAACAGATCTGAATCCACCCTTTTCCTGTGCTGTCTTCCTCACTGCTTACAGACTTGAGCCCATTGCTGCAGCTACTGTGTCAGTCCATCTTGTTAAACGTCTTCCCTCATTTAAAATTCTCTCATTTAAAAATTCCCTGAGAATATTTTACAAATCTTTCTTTTAAGTGTTTTTATTCATTACAGATCAGTTGCCTACCTAACAAACAACTTTTGTCTAAAACTTGATTTAAGATAAATAGGGAGAAAGTTTGGAGGTTTTTTCCTTCTTTTTTTCACCCCTTTTTTCTTTTTTTAAAATTTATTATTAATTTCAATGAAAATTTACAGAGACTTTGGATTTCCATTCATTCACTGTTGCACTTTTCTCCCCTCCCAACCCTTCCCCCAAGTACACTACCCTCTTGGAAAAGTAAAATTCTTTCATTGTTTACAATCCCTCCCTCCAGGTCCACTCCACCATGCAGCCTTCGCTCTGGACTCCTATCATGACAAAAATACCTAATCACATATTCCTTTTAAATAGTTTTCTCCCTCATCTGTTTCAATGCAACCCATCTTTCTCAGTCTCTCCCTACCCCTGAGGTCAGTCCTGTTTTAAAACAGGGGCACTATACAGTATTTGTCCTTTTGTGACTGAGATATTTCACTCAGCATAAAGTCCTCCACGCTCACCCATTTTGAATACTATTGCATGAGTTCCTTGTTTTTCAATGCAGCGTAGTATTCCATTGTGTGAATATACCACAGCTTCTCTATCCATTCGTTTGTTGATGGGCACTTGGGTTCTTTCCAACTCCTTTCTGTTGTGAACAAAGTCGCAATAAACATGAGTGTGCATATATCTGCTTGGATGTTGGTTATGGTCTCTAGGGTATATTCCCAGTAGTGGAATTGCTGGGTCAAATTCTATTTGCAACTTTTTGAGAAAGCGCCACACCGCTTTCCACAGTGGTTGCACCACTTTATACTCCCACCAACAGTGAATAAGGGTTCCAGTTTCTCCACAACCTCGCCAGCATTTGTTGCTTGCTATTCAGTTAAATTTTGCTAGTCTTACTGGGGTGAGATGATATCTCATAGTTGTCTTGACCTTTTGGTTTCTTCATGTGATATCCTTGATATTATTCCACAGCTCTTTTGGTCTTCTATCATTGTTGTTCAGTGCCTCAAACCTATTCTTTAGATGATTATGAAATTCTGATGGAATTGATTCAAGACCTTATCTTGGTTTTTGTGGACTTATTTTAATTTTGTTTGGCCTCAATTTGTATTTGCATATGAGTAAGTGAAGATCTGAACCACAGTCTGCCCCTGATCTAGTTTTGACTACTGATAATGAGCTTTTCCAACTCAGTGGCACCTAACAACAACAACAGCAACAAGGTAGAAATATTTAAATAGGACAGAGGAAGAAATCTTACCTATTCTTTCACGATGATATTAAGAGTTGTGGTTCTAATCATATCATAAAAAGCAAACCTAAAGCTCTTAGATTCCTAAGTATGGTGGATAAGATATGCCTTCCATATGAGACCTAAATTTGTAAGTTGATTGTACTACTGATAGCTTTATATAATGTAGAATGAGTTTTTTATCATTTCAGTGCCTCACTTTCTCTGTGTAGAATGGAGATAAGTGGATGTTTTTGAGGCTGTATGGAATTGATAGAGGTGAAGCATTGAGTACCTGCCACCTTACTCAGAAACTGACAGGTCATATAATCAAAGAATAAGAAAAGGCAGAAGGCAATTAAATGACAGCTCTGTTACATTGCTTCAGTTAAGCCTCATTATTTGTAAATGCTCACCTCCTTACTAAAATGTATGGTAGAGCCCTGGTGGGTGGCCTAGTCGCAAGAAGTTGAGCTGTAATCCCAAAGGTACATGGTTCAAGGCCATCAGCTGATCTCGGGAGAAGTATGGGAAATCTTCTCTTATGCGATTAACTGCCTCTGAAAACCCACCAGAGCGTAAGCTGTGTGTCAATTGCGATTCTGTGGTACACAACAACAACACAACAGCTCCAAAATGAATAGCTGCTGCACTTTCCCAGTCTCTGGATTTTTCATACACAGAGCAGTGGAAAAATTGGGCTTTCCTGAATCTCATGTTCTGAAGAAGAGTGGTTCAGTCTTTACTAATTCATTGTCCGCCATGAATTTCATGAATATAATTACTGCACTAGAAAGCATCAACTCAACATATCATGAGCTCTGATGGCCTCAGTAAAAGCTGCCCTGTAATCCCAAAAGTGGACAATTTGAATCTACCAGCTGCTTCCTGAGAGAAGGAGGGGCAGTCTCCTCTGATGCAGTTTACTGCTTCTGAAAACCTACTGGAAGGTCAGTTATGAGTTGATGCCAACTCAGCAGCACACAACAAGAACAAAAGAAATAGCTAATTTTATACCATAGCACAAAGATTTTAAAGTTCCCTGAGGAAGTTCTATGAAAATTAAAATCATCAGTTTTTTAGAAGTAGACAATGTAACAGGTCACTTTCTACCAAAATGCAACAGAAAGGTGGTCAAAAAACTGAGCACTTGAGAATTCAGTATTTTTACTCCAGATAGGTTTTTTAATTAAATTTAAAATTATAATGGCAAATTACAGGAAAGACAGAGGGTTAAATTTAATTAAGCACATTGAATTAAGCATTGGACTGCTGAGAGGTAGGTGGTTGGAACCAGCTGCCCCCAGAAAGATAGATAAAGTCTGTTCCTATAAAGATTTACCACCTCAGAAGACCTTTGGGACAGTTCTACTCTGTCCTGTAGGGCCACTAAGTCAGAACTCACTCAGAGACAATATTTACCTTTTTAGGAAAGCAAAGGTCATTTGAAGTTGGCAGTGCAATTCTTTAGTGAGAAATTCTAGCTTTAAATATTTTTATAGTAAAAAGAAATTAACCTAACCAGTCAAATATGTTCTTTAAGAATCTATAGAGGAATGATAGCATTCCCTTTTAAAAAACAACTATAAAGCAGAATTTTTTCAAGGCTAAGAAAATAGTGGAAATGAAAACAGGTATTCCCAGGCCGTGGTGGAATTTCAGACAGTTGTTTAACAAAATTTAAAAACTTCCCTCAACACAATGACTGAACAATGGGCTGAAGTGATCAGGAGATGGTGCAGGATAGGGCAAGGTTCAGATCCATAGTTCAGTTGTTACTCATATCAGTCGTGGTCGACTCCATGGTGCCTAACAATAATAGTGTGAATATACTGCTCACAGTGTCTAGAATGTTCTTAAGTTTCTTTAGAAAAAGAAGAGGACAATAGTTAATGAGGATGAGAAGGCTAAGTATCCAATTTTTTTATAACTCTCATCTCTCACTTTAAACTGAGCTTCTCATTGACTTTTTAAATATATTTCTAAAGAAATCACCTAAAATTTCATTGTCGAAAATAGCGGGCTACGGTTTTTAAAATGGTTTAAACCCTCTACTAAGTGTCTTTGAAAGTCATTAGAAAAATTAATCCCAAATAGGGATGAACTTTTTAGTTGGTCAGGCTTGTGAATGAGGGCTTCTCCCAAGTCAGCATGGCCAGAATCCTCATACAGGCAAACAGTAGCTTGGCAACTCAGCCCTTGAAGGACCAAGGATCTTGCCACACCATCCAGCAACCTGGTTTCTCATCTAGCACCTGTTGCTTCATTCCTTTTTCTCACCAAAGTGAGGCAGTGAAACTCCAGTTGCGTGGTGGAATGAAGTAGGGAGAACTGGCTTCTAGCCCTGCTCTGTGGTTCCTTACTGTTAAGACCTTTGGTGAGTCACTATGATGTGTAAAGGGGGACCCTTTGCCTTCTTAACACCACACACTCAACAGTAAGGAAGTTTTACACTAATGTAAAATTTTGTGTGTTGATTATTATTTTTTTTTTAAGCACACATCTCTTGGAATTCCTCCAGTGATTAAAAAGCATATGCTGCTCCATAGCTAAGTGACTCAGGCTACACATAAAAATTAAAAGTCAGTCCTCCTGGCCAGAAAGCAAGGGAAGGAAAGGGTAGAATTCTTCAGGAAGTCCTCGTTGAAGGTGAAAAGACATTGCCGCTTCTGACTGTCCTCAAGAATGTGTTGCCATAACTGTTTCTTTTTCTCCCTTAGGTGGATGAAAACATGAAAGAAGCACAGAAACGAGATGCTGTCTTGCAGGGAAAGTTTTATTTCAAGAAAGATATTTGCAAAGGTATTGCACCTGATGAAATGAGCTATATCCTTACTGTGATGTGTAACCAAACTGCAAGTGGATTATGTGAATGCTCAGTCTCTCTTGGATTTCTGGCATTATGTTATACTACAAGCCACTAAAGCACCTCTCCCCTCCTGCACAGGGGGCAACGCTGTGGTGGATGGATGTGGCAAGGCCCAGAACAGCCCTGAGCTCCCCCAGGAGGAATACACTTTAATGAACATAGATACCATCATCAACGGAAAGGTAGGAGCCTGCCAGCTCGCCTCCTATTCACACCATCTGGCAGGGGCTTAATAGCATTTTCTGTTTCTTGTAGGAAGGTGTGTTTCCTGGGCTGATCCCAATTCTGAACTCTTACCTTGAAAATATGGAAGTGGACGTAGACACCAGATGTAGTATTCTCAACTACCTGAAGCTAATTAAGAAGAGAGCATCTGGTATGCTACCTTTTTTTAAAAAAAAATTCTTAGTTTTATAGGTTCCAATTTGGAGGCTAATGTGTGAAATTGTTTAATTGATGCCATCATAGGCAATGAATACAGTATTTGGCTTTCCTGTCATTTTTGTTCACTTGTGTTCATTTTCTGTGGGAGAAGGATGGGCAGTTTCATGTAATCTTGAACTTTTTAAAATAAGAGCTGAGTGATTTTATAGGTTAAGTTAGCTACAGAACTAAGATGCTATTCTCACACAGTGAGCATACTAAAAATTCCCTCTCCTTTGTGAGATTTGAAATGACATTTCTAGTGTCTAACACTGAGCTTGCACAACATAATTGTTCATTGTTGATAAAAGTAATAACAGTGATTGTGTGTGTGTGTGTGTGTGTGTGTGTTCCTTAAACTTTCTGGAATCACCAAGGATGATTGTGTAACCCCATCACCATCTAAATGGTGGTTGTTGTTTACTGTCAAGTTGAAACTGACCCATAGCTGACCCTCCACTGGTTTTGAGAGGTAGTCAGTCACCCAGGAGGATATGCCTATCTTACTCCTTCAGAGTGGATTTGAACCATGTACCTTTGCATTGGCAGCACATTCCTTACCACTACATCCGCCAATTTCCCCTGCATTCATTCTGCTTTTTCTTTGTTCTCTCCTCATCTGCTTTATCAGGGTGACTCTGGGGAACACAGGACCCTACAGCCAGCCCTCTGAAGCACTCATAACACTTATTAAAACTGGTGAACTCTAACCAAATGCTCTTGTACACATATGCCGTCACCTGTCTCTTTTGTGTGCTAGCATGTAACCAATTGCTATATAGCAGCTGGTTGTATGTGTTCTAATTGCCTGCCTGCAATCTAAAATTCTTCCCCAAAAAGGAGTTCCTTAACACTGTGGAAGCTACACAGTTTCCAAAGTCTGCCATGTGGTTATACTGAAAGGGCACACGGATTTTTGTTTGGAGTTGTGGTTCTTTTGCTGGCTGCTAAATGCCTTTTAATTATTTTGTGGTCCCAATTCCTTTCTTTGCAGGAGAGCTAATGACAGTTGCCAGATGGATGAGGGAGTTTATTGCCAACCATCCTGACTACAAGCAAGATAGTGTCATAACTGATGAAATGAACTATAGCCTTATTGTGAAGTGTAACCAAATTGCAAATGAATTATGTGAATGCCCAGAATTGCTTGGATCATCATTCAGGAAAGTAAAGTACAGTGGAAATAAAACTGACTCTTCCAACTAGACATTCTAGATGGGGGAAAACTGGTTTTTTCGAACTAACTGCAATACCTTGACCTTCAGCCCTTCACCCTTTGGCGTGGTATGGAGACCAAATAATAGAACTGTACTCTTTGGTACAGAAACTGATTTAGAAGCTTCCTTCAGTAGACAGATCTAGAGTTTATACAGTGTACATGTACATAGTAAAGTATTTTTATGATTAACAATGTATTTTAATAACATTGTATCTAAAGGTATTGTGAACTAGCTTGTACATTTTTAAAATCTTACTCTGGAGAAACTACTGTGTAAGCAGTTTTGTAAATGTAATGTTCTGGTCATTGTACTATACTTGCATTCCAGAGCTTAAAATGTTTACTGTAAATTTTTGTTCTTCAGAAGACCTACCTGGGACCTGATTCACAGAACGTTGCCACTTCACTTTAAAATAGTTTCTTGTTCATTTTCTTTTAGTCATCCCCTTTGTTATGTACATAAAATCATTAGAATCTATTAGAGTACTTCAAGGATGATCTTGGATTTCTAGCACCTTATCTATGTTGTTCCTTCTCCAGTGGGAATAGCTGGTCACATGGTCTGTGTGCAACAAGCTTTCACCACAAAATAAGCCCTAGTGAACTGATGGCCATTATCAAAGACATTTCCTTCTTCTCTTTTGTTCAGATGTGCCAAATCAGGCATTAAGTCTCAATACAACTGTCTTAAGAAAGACTGTCACCTACCTGAATGATTTGTCACTTGTACTGAGAATTGAGCAGAATTTTTTTCCTTTAAAAAAAGGGATAGATTGTTTTTCTTGCTCTGTGTACAAGAAAAGGCCTCAGTTCTTCTGTTGCGACCCTGTTTACTCTGATTGCTGCTATTTAAATTTGTAAAAGAAATGCAGTTGCAGAAATTTTATTTTTACTTTTTCCGCAGTTTCAAATATGCTTATTGACAGACTTTCTTCTAAGAGTCTCCATAGCTTTTAGCTGGGGAACATTCTACATACTGCTTATTTCTCTATAAAAAAACAAATAAATCATGAATGCACTAAGTTTTGTGAATCAGGATCCTGAATGTTTAATTGTAAATAATTTAAATAACTGTCATAAGTTTGTGTTAAAGTTTTGGGGTTTTTTTTTTCTGTCCTCAATTAGTTAAAACTCTCTACTGCTTCTGAAATAACTCTATTGTAGATTATGCAAACCTTTATAGGCAAAAGCATTTCAATTGTAATGCTAATTTTAAGAGATTATACTAAAGCTACTTCAGGTAAACCTGTTTGTTTAAATTTGAGGGTTTGTGCTATATTTCATAGATGTATTTAGATGGTTAAAGGAGGCCTGTTTTCCATTTGCTGTTTGCTTGTGTAAATCAGGTTGCAGAAAAACAAAAATGTTTTGTGGTGGAAGGAAATAAAAGAATGGAATTAACATTGTGAAATTTCTTGAATGGGTATGAATTATGAATTCTGTAACTAAAAGAAACCTGGAATAGTGTTGGTGTGTTTTGTATCATTTTAATTAGCTCAAATCTTCCATGGAATTATTTTGTAGCTGGACTACTCCCTAAATGGTTGCCAAGAAAATGTCTTCAGTGCACTCCTTAAATTTGAGTTCTTCTGCCTGTTAAGCACGAATAGCAAAACAAGAGTCCACGTTTTTCTATGCAAACAAATAGTTTTATTAGGAAAAAATACTCTGCAAAGAAAGTCTCGGAGGGACAAGGCACCACTAGCCCATGATTCCTCAAATAAAGAACAAGCTATAAAGGCTCTGGGGGTGGAGAAAGGACCTTAATGGGTGGATTTTAAAAGTCTTTATCAAAATGAAGAGATCATGTTTATTCATGAAAGGAGGAGGGGGATCATGTGCAATTGGCCCTTCTGGGAGAAATCAGTATTAGCACAGTTCTTTCAATTGTCTGCCATGGGAAGGACTTTCTGGGTCTTGTTAGGAGTATATGCACGATTCAGCAAATTGAAAAAACACAAGCATCTAACGTTAAAAATAGCCCTGTCCAGCTGAGGTGGTTAGGCATTATATATAGATCATGCCCTGTCAAGATGGACATTTACGGTCAAAATGGCATACTCCAGAAAGTTATACAGGAGTCACTGGCATCACACCTGAAGATGTTTAGTCAAAGGTTAAGAGAAAATGCCTAGAGGTGCCTAGACTACTCATTTAGGGGGTATTTCTGGAATGTTTGCACTAGCGAATGCTGGCTTTCCTGATCGCAAGAGAAAAAGAATTCACATTATGTAAAGAGGGAGAAGAGATAGGAAAATAAAGTCTGATTCCAAGTAAGGAGCAGTAACTCAACTAAAGGTTAAAACAGTTAAAATTTTTCGTTTTCCTTGAGAAGGACTTCTTAGAAGGTCAGAAGGTTCTGTTACCATGTTCATAAAGGAGTGTTCTATTTTAGATGCGCACCTGGAGAGTGAAAGGGACTAGGTAGTGGTTTGTGAGATATGGCTGAAATGGAATTCTGCTATGCTGGGTCAAGGTGACATGGTGAGAACAGGCCTTTGTGTACACTCCGGTCTAAGCTAAAGTTATTCAGACAGAATCACTAAGTCCTGTGGGGAGCTGCTGTTAAAAAAGCAAGGATTTGATCCTCAGTCTTCCCACACAACACCACTCCCCGTGTTTTGTGTAAAACTCTTCTCCAGCCTTCCCTGTTACTGGAGCTCAGACTTCTTTATCTGAATGATCTTGGGGCAATGATTTTCACACTGCCTCTGCATAGGAATCCCTCTAGGTATGCATTCTGATGGGCCTGGGGTTGGCGTTTCAAATGAACCAGTGATGCAGTCACTGCTCAATGTAGATCACATTGAGAAATAAGGGCTTAGATTGTCTTTCTCTTTTAAATGCATTTTAAATCTCCAACTACACTTACTTTTTTTTTCAGCCTCTGAATTTTTAATTTCCATTCATTCATTGTTACACACCTTCCTCCCTCCCCCCAGTTCACTTTTCTCTGACAAGTAAAAAAAAGTTTACTCATTGCACGTGCTCTGTCTACATGAATTCCATGGAAAAGCAGCTTGAGGGTACTTCCTTCTTTCCCTGGCAGAGAAAGTAATCGGCACAACTTCCATGAACTTTGCCGTCTGAACACAACTGAGAAATCTAGATAAAACAATAAGAACTGGAATAAGCAGAAAAAGCATTCATGGAAAAGCCGTGGGCAAGCCCTGGCTCTCGGACCCTCACCTGGGAAACCATTGCCAGGTGCCATGGAGTTGATGCAAACTAAGAGTGAGCCTGGGAACTATAGTTCAACTGCACCATCCTCACAGTCTCACATGCTCAAGGCTGTTGTCGGACTCAGTGTCTCAATTTATCTTGTTGAGGGTTTTTCTCCTTCACTAACTTTACGTGCCTTTGCAACTCATAGCAACCCTATGTACAACAGCTCTGAAGCCTGCCCTATCCTGAGCCAGTCTGACCCCAACACACCTACCCCCATTACGCCAGTTACTATATCAATCCATCTCCTCTCATGATGTCCTTCTCCAAGGATTGGTTTGAAACCCCCTGGCCACAAGCCCAAAGTATGTGAGATGGAGCTTTAAGATTCTAGCCTCCAAGGGGAAACTTGGTTTCACCCCTTCCAAGACAGGCTTATTTGTTTTCTTGGCAATCCAGGGAATGTTCAAGACTTCTCCAGCACTACAACTCAAAAGACATGATGGATTCTTCTGTCATCCTTAGTCATTGTCCAGCTCTCTGATGCATACTTAACAAGTCACTGCAAAGACCATGGCCTAAGATGTCTTTTTCCAAATGTTGCATGATTGCATTTGTTACTAAAAGAATATACCTGACGAAAGATGAGAGAATGGTATTCATGAACCAAAGTAGTACAGAGTACAGCAACTTTAGTGTTTCTCAGGAGAGCCAAATTTCCTGCATGGAGCGTTAAAGTATAGGCTGAAGCCTTTTACTAGAGCACAGGGATGAGAAGAAAGAGTCAAGGAGGCAGAAATGAGGGTAAACAGTAATGTTAGATTTATTAGACAGTTATGCCCCCAAAGAGACAGACCTTTTCCGCTGAAAGGAGATTTCAAAGGAAGGCCCCTTGCTTGTGAAGTGAATATATCTCATACTCTGGGCAAATGCATGAGCCAATGAGACAATGCCATGGAGAGTCCAAAGTGTAGTGGGCATGTCTCCTGTCCCTGTTCTCTGATGTCATTCAGACTCACAAAGTGTCGCCTACTTCAGGCATCACTAATGCACCCAAAGCACCAATTCCGTGCATGTCAACATTAGCTTCCTGTTTCTGATAGACTAATTTTTCAGTCATAAGCTTTTGCTTCTTAGTTCTCATCCTAACACTGGTTTCCCCTGACAACATACCCAAAGTGTGAGATGAAGTTTCACCATCCTTGCCTCCGCTACCTCAGAGTTAATGAATCCCATTAGCTGATCCACTTAATCTACTTTGACCATCTTGTTTCCTTTTTATTCAGTTTCTGGGTGTCTGCTGGACTGCTGGGAGCCTTGTCATTGAGAATGTAGTGAACTGGACTTGGCCTCCCTTCTAATATACCACCTGACATAAAATTAACCAAGAGACATGGAACCCCAAGATGTGGCTGGTTTAGGTCATGTCTGAGTTGATGTGGGGAGATAAACCTGGTAAAGTGAAAAGATGGTTGTCTCTTTCAAGTAGCCTGTGCTCAAAATGCAGAGAGGGGAGGGTGGAAACAGAGTGGTGAGGATGGGGGAAATGGGGGTGTGGTGCACAATTTGATAGGTGGAGTGTGGAGTGGATAGAGGATATGGAGAAGTTCTGGTGTGAAGAACAATGTATATGAACTTGGTAATAAACCAGTATAAAATAAAAATTTTGTGTAAAAAAAAATGTGAAGGGGGAGCTATGATTCCAGGGCCCTCCATAGTACTTGATAAGGGACTCTGCAAACCTGAGTTTGCTGGTTAGCTGCAAGGCCTTCTGAGGTCCTGCTTGTTGCTGGAAATTGGCCCAAGACTAATGGGCTTTCATGTAGGTTACAGCTCCCCAGCTTTTCCTGAAGATAAGCCATTGACTCCTAGCAGCTGTTCTCACCTCTCCATTATGCTTTGTGTAAATATTTAACATTCCCCATAAACACTCCTGAAAACGTGCCATGTGACATTTAGAAAAGTGTGAGTTAGCAGGGGACTGGTGTCATCTGAGCTGGCAGTGAGGCATCCTTGGTGGGCCACCGAGACTGGGAAAGATACTTTCCTGAGGCACTTTCTAGCTCAAGTGGAGGCTGAATGAGACTGGATGATCTTTAAGGCCTCTTGTCATTCAAACTATATCGTTGCCATGAAAAGAATAAAATCATAATAGGATAAATCGTACAAATGTCCTTGAATGAAAAGACACCAGATACAGAAAGGCAGACATCAGATACATTCCCACTGGCCCCCTGGTGGCACAGATTGTTTGTCCTCAACTAATAACCAAAAGGAGCTTTAGTGGCTTAGCGGTAAGTAACAGCACTGCCAACCCAAAGGCACACACAATTCGAGTCTATAGGAGAGAAGGATGGGTAATCCCCTCCTGTGTGATTTATAGCCTCTGAAAACTCACCAGAGGGTCAACTGTGATTCTGTTCCAATTTGACTATATAACA